TCCCTCACAACCAGCCTTCCCTTTGACGTGCTATGGGCATGTTTGCTCATTACTCTCAATGGATTGCTTCGTTCTCAGAAAAGATACATCCATTGACACAAGTAGAGACGTTTCCTCTGTCCCATCAAGCCGTTGAGGCATTCGAGGGACTGAAAAAGGATATTGCGAAATCTGCAATTACAACAATAGACCAAAATATTCCTCTGGTTGTTGAAACGGATGCGTCAGATTGTGCTATTGCTGCTTCTTTGAAACAAGCTGATCGTCCTGTAGCCTTCTTTTCAAAGACCCTCTCACAGGCTGAATGACGACACCCCGCAATTGAAAAGGAAGCCTACGCCATAGTTGAGGCATTAAGAAAATGGCGACACTAGCTGATCGGACGCCACTTTAAACTTATTACTGACCAGAAATCAGTTGCTTTTATGTTCAACTCTAAAACTACAAGTAAAATAAAGAATGAGAAAATAGCGAGGTGGAGAATTGAGCTATCTTGTTTCTACTTTGACGTCAGCTACCGACCTGGCAAGGAGAACTTAACAGCTGATACACTGTCAAGAGCATGCTGTACGGCATCAAGTGGGGACGAACTCCGAACGCTACATAACAATCTCTGTCACCCGGGCATTACTCGAATGGTTCATGCTGTGAGGTGTAGAAACTTGCCTTTCTCAGTGGAGGAGGTAAAAAGAATTACAAATTCTTGTCGAACGTGTGCTGAAATAAAGCCTCGATTTTATAAACCCCAAACTGGCGTTTTAATAAAAGCAACACAACCGTTTGAAAGACTCAATCTTGATTTTAAAGGACCGCTACCATAAAAAACAAGGAACAGATATATATTAACGGGTTATCGACGAATATTCACGGTTTCCTTTTGCCTTCCCTTGTTCAGACATATCGGCTGCTGCAATTATACAATGCCTCTGCTCACTGTTCGCCATCTTTGGAGCCCCTGCCTATATACATTCGGACCGAGAGGCTTCTTTCATGTCAGAGCAGCTTCAGCAATTTCTACAGGAACGAGGAGTAGCTATAAGCCGGACAACTCCCTACAACCCTAAGGGTAACTGCCAATGCAAAAGATATAACGGCATTATTTGGAAGACCGTTCAATTGGCTGCCTCAAATAACGGATGTTCAATTGATGATTGGGAAAATCTCCTTCCTGTCGCATTATACGCCATTCGTTTCCTATTGTGTACCGCCACGAATGCCACCCCACACGAAAAGGTTTCTACCTTTTCAGCGATGGAGTTCGCGGGAGCTTCGCTTCCATCTTGGCTCTCTCGACCCGGTACTGTGTTTCTGAGACGACATGCACGTTACACCAAGAACGATCCCTTGGTGGACGAGGTAGAGCTTATAGAGGCGAACCCTCAGTACGCTTAATACGACATGCAGATGGTAGAGAGTCTAATGTGTCTCTCAGGGACCTAGCACCAGCCGGAGACATACCGGACCGTGAATAGCCCCTGAGGACAGACCAACTACCCCTGACACTGAAGCCCCCTCCGGAAGATCATGGCACTGAAATTGTTCCTGACACAATTGCCTGACACTGTCTCCGTTGAGGCCCGTCAGACACTTTGGATGGGCCAACACCTGAAACCCTGACAGATGAAGGGCTAGCACCGAATAAACGTGTTCATCCAGAGACTGACTCTGACACGGAACGGCCTGCCTCTGAGAAGGAAACATTTCGAGCAAGGTATTTTAGAGCCCACAGACAGGCTCGCACTGAAGAGCCTCCTGTTCGAGTACTCCGACCACGTAATCATGGACTGCCGAGGCGGCCACTGCGAACTCAGAGGGAGCCTGGACATTTAAGGACTTTCTTCCCTATCAGTGAGAAATTTGGTGGGAGAGAATGTTGTGAATATGGATTATCTCCTCTTAGATAATCCAAGCTATAAAAGCTGTATACTTCCGCTGTCAAGTCAGATGAGTAGTAGTATTCTTAATTGAATAAACGATTACTAGACAGAATCTCTTGTCCTGTTTTCATTACACTCCTATTGAGGAAAAAATAAATAAACAAACAATAAATAAAATTTCAGAGTTTTGCAGAGGCATTAGAAAGAATTAGAAACACAATCCTAAACAAGAAACAAGGACTAAACTTCTACTCTTGTTCAAAAGATGAGGGAGGAATCTGAACTGGTTGATAAATGAATATTTTTTATGACTTTTTTGCTGCTTTTTACATTGAAATGTTTAACTTGCATTACTTAATCTATTCTGGATACATCATATTTTTGTGCAGTTTAAAAATGTGGCTTAATCTGAGACTGACAATATAATTTAAGTAAATAATACAGTTTTAAAATCAATGTTTGAAGCAATTTAATTATTTTTTAAATATTAATTTAAATTTTAACTATTAATAATTAAAGTTAAAATCAAACATTAAATATTGCTGTCATATCTAGTCTGGTCCTTCTGTTATGTATTTGGAGATTCTTGATAAAATCCAAAGAATCTGCAATATTACCATTCCTGACCTGGCATCTCAGCTTCAGTCACTCTCACATCATCTTAACTTAGTTTCCCTGTGTCTTTCTATAAATATTTTCATCAGAATTGTTCTGAAGAGCTTTCCTCTTTGGTACCTCAACTTTACAAATTTAAACACAGTAATAGGTTGACAGCTACAGTGCTGCACAAAAATAAGTGAACTCCTAAAATAATATTTTTAAAAAATTACTCTTTTTTTTTTTTCTTTTCTTTTTTTTTAACAGATAATCGACAAATCTTAAATTATATATTCATTAAGAAAAAATGTTATTAAACAAATTTTTTATCATGCTGAAATAAAAATATTAATTATAAATGAAAAATTAAGACGTGCAAAAGTAAGGAAACCCTTACATTTAATATTTGGTGACTCCTCCTTTTGAGGTCACAATGTTGACAAGACTTTTTCTATAATTTTTCAGAAGTTTCCAGCAGTAATAAGTGTCAATTTTTGACCATTCTTCTTAGCAAAACTCCCACAATTGCTCAATATTACCTGTGTTTCTTTCATGTACTGATTTCTTTAATTAGAACAACAGATTTTCAATTGGGTTTAGATCAGGACTTTGACTAGACCATTCTAAGACTTGAAATTTTTTTTTTTTTTACCCATTCTTTTGTAGATTTTCTTTGATGCTTCGGATCATTGTCCAGTTGTAAGATTCAGCCCTTACCTAAACGCAACTTTTGAACCAAGGGCAAGACACTTTTTGTCCAAAATGTTTGGTATCTTACACAATCCATTGTGCTGTCAATGCATACTATTTTGCATGATCTATCTGCAGCAAAGCACGCCCAATTCATAAGGACGTCACAATTATTTTTATCTGTTGGCACCAAATTCTTCTCTTCAAAAGCTGTATTAGAAGCCCACCTATCATGCCTTCTATAAAGCATTAGTTAGGTCTCATCCAACCATAAAACCTTTTGCTAGAATGTTTCTAGCTTATTAATATGAGCTTAGGCATAGTTGAGCTGAGCTTGTTTGTGCTTTTTTATAAGCAGTGGCTTTTCTTTTTCTTGACCATTCTGCTATGAAGACAAGCATCATTCAGATTTTGTCACACTGTAGATGGATTTTAACATTGGCCAGGGAGCGTTGGGGAACTGCAGAGGTTACAGAAGGATTCAGCTGGGCTTGTTAAAGTTGATGTCAACATGCTCTTATATTTATTTTTCATGGATGGCTGCTTCTTGATTGCAATGCCATTATACCAAAGGCTTTCCATTTATAAATAATTTCTTGCACAGTAAAGATGTGCACTCCAAATTTTTTTGCTAGCTTTTTGAAGCTATCTCCATCCTTATAAGCTTCAACCATGCAATTTTTTTAAAGCTTCAGGAAGTTCTTTTAATCTTGATATCTATCTATATATATATATTTTAATTTAGTCTCTAACTGCACACTTTTGCATACACAATGAGTTATATTGGTTGACTGTAGTATACACAGCTTACCAAAAACATGAACATACATAATTTTAATTTTTACAGGGTCACAAAACATTATTTGCACTGGCAACCATGTAAAACAAAAATAAAGAGTGTAAACATAAGGGTTCACTTACTTTTGCACATTTTAATTTTAATATTCTTATTTCAGCTTGATGACAATTTTAGAAAGTTGTAATTCATTTCATAATGTTTTTTCTTAATGAATATATTGTTTAAGATTTGTTGATTATTTAGGAAAAAAAGAATTTTTTTTTAAATTATCTCACTTTTGCACAGCACTGTATAAAACATACAATGCTAGATGCAACCGTAAGTTCTATGCTAAGAGTTTCTTCTCATGCAATTCTTGCTTGTGGAACTCTTTTGGCCTCTTGCTTTCCAGTCATCTTTGATCGTCAAAAATTTAAATGCAATGTCAATCATTATCTTGTCATTTTAATTCCTCTCCTTTTATTGTTCTCTCTCCTTAATGTTTTTCTTTTTCTCATATCGTTTCACACTCAGTAACCCTTGCGTCTTAGTGGCTTTATTATCTTGATTGGGGTGAAATTATTAAAGAAAAAAAATTATTTTGTTGAACTAAATAAACAAGATAGTTTTTTTTTTCTTTAATAATTTCACCCCAATCAAGATAATAAAGCCACTAAGACACAATATTAAGACAAATATTAATTTCTATAATTTTCAATCGTCTTTCCATTATCCATAAAATTATAACTGATGTAATAAGTAGAAATATATGAAGCTTTAAAGATGTTCTTTTCAAATATTAATATCAATGAATGTCACTGAATCAATACTGGTCCTGTATATTCTATATACAGGTATCAAAGTTGTATTATTATTTATATGTTACGTAGACTGTTTACACTGTTGTATCTCTTGAATGTAATGTTATTCTTATAGTATAGAAATTGAATAAATCATATTATCGAATAATTATCCATTTAAAATCAGCTTGTCTATTTGAGATTATTTTCAAGATAATAGGGCAAAAATGTTTGTTACTTTAATAGCTTGTGATCAATATGATTTTATCTATATATGTTGTTTCATTTTTTTGCAGGATTACTTATTGTCATTTGCCTTTCCAGAGCAAATGGTTTTACTTAGGCACAGAGCGTGGGAATGTACACATAGTCAACATTGAAACTTTCTTACTGTCTGGTTACATCATTAATTGGAACAAAGCTATTGAGTTGTAAGTACTATCATATTTTATTATTTGATGTATGTTTCTTTATATCTTATTCTGCTTATCCCTCTCTTAGTTAGTACAACCCTTACGCCTTGCCAATACCTTATAAATAATGGACTATTCCATTTTTATTGTGTGGAAAGCCAGAAAAGACAAAGATGCTTGGTTTCAGTGAGAAAATGAAAGAAAGAAGAGAAGGTAGCTGTGTTTAATGTCAGTGAAATGGAAAAAAGTTGTCATTTTCAAATTTTTTTATTTGTACCCTCTTACTTATTTAAATAATGACCAGCATTCATATTTATGATTATTATTGCAATATTTTGTTCAAGTTGTTAAGCTTAAATATTTAACAATGCAATAGGGGGAATTTCTATGGATATTTTATTGTCATAGAACTCACCATGAGTTTAACCATGAGTTAAGATTTAACAGAAAATTCAAATAGAGAAACCTTGAAATTTTCATGGGTATTTCTAATAATATATATAATGCATAATCAATATATTTCATGCCTGCTTTAATATGCAAATACACCGTGTGTAGTCACTCTAGCCCCAGTTTTTTTTTTTAACATTTTTATTCTAGACCAGTATACAGTAAATTTTTACATGACATGCTCAAAATTTATTTTTAAATTCAGTAGACAGTCTAATATTTCTGAAACCTTTCACATATATTTCCATTTTCTTTTTCAAATGACCTGCAGTTTCATGCTTTTGTCAATTTACTGCTGTTTGTTCTCTTTAGCATTAATGATTCAATTTTAATTATTCCCAGCTGTGCTTCAATCAAATTATGCCCAGACAAAACTTTTGAAACTCTCAGGCAGAGTTGCTCTAAAAGCCCAAATATTATTATGTATTTATGGAAAATGCTATGTTCATGACCACCATTACCAGCATTTTGTCTTGCATATAAAATATATTTTTTAGTCAATTTCCAATCAATTTTACATGATGACTTGCTTTATGCAGCAAATTCCCAGGGAAAATGAGTCTTAGTAAAAAAAAAAAAAAACGAAATAGAACGTGTTTATTTTAAAATTGATTTCCATATGAATCAGTTTAAACCTATTGTTTTCAACCAGGGTCATGAATATTTGAAAGGGAATAAACACTTTCTTCGTCTTACAGGATTATTTGCTAAAAGCGAACAGCCAGTATTTGATCCCAAACTGATCTATCTGTGATCATTCTTTCCAATTCTGACCTGATCACTTATTGCAGTCTGTTGTTGCCTGGGTAGCTTAATTCCAAGCACTTAGCTAATCGCTGTAAATACTTTAAATGTGTTTCAATGTCAGTTCCTGAATGATTTGAATATTTCTCTTAAGACAATAAGTAAATCATACAGAACTGACAAAAGCCTGAAAATCTTAACTGAAATCCTCTGAACTCTGTTGTAATCAAATTAAGCTACAATTTCCACCCAAAATATTTCAGTTGACTCAACTGTTTAAAAAAAAAAGAAAAAACTAAACATAAAGCAATGAATAAATAATTATTTAATGCTGAATTGATTAGTATCTGGAATCAAAGATAAAATGGAGACTTGAGGCAACAGTGATATGCTTCTGCAGAAGAATAATGAGAATACTATAGACAGAACATGTGAGCAATGAGGAAGTTTTCAGGAAAATAGGGATGAAAAGAACTTTTTTTTTTTTTTGCTTTTGATAAGAAACAGTCAAAATTTTGGGGACATATAATGAGGAAAGAGGAATTGGTGAATGTAATAGTCACTGGACATGAAAATATCATGCAGGTTTTTGTGGCTGGATGAAAGCATTTTCCATGTTGGTAGAATAATTGAACTGAGAAGGGCTGGTGCATACTACTCCCAAACCCTCCTGATTGCAGGGGGAGTGCATGGAGGCCCAAGCAATGCATCGTGATCCTTGCTAACTTATCAACATTTGCTTTTTTTTCTACCTACATTTATATACAATACAAATTAAACTAAGTACAACTGTTAAAGGATGAAAATTTCTTTGCAGATTTTGATGTCATTCTGGATTTGTTTTTGTTTTTTCATGTAAATTTGTGAATTTGTTTTGCTCATACTAAATCTCAAAAAAACACTATATAAAATTCACTATTTTTTATCCATAATGTGTTAAAACTTATTCAACCTTTTAACAAGCAAAAGCTCAAGTTGATGCTAAAAATTTATGTGAAACATTGTTGATTTATTTAAGATGGAATGAGCTGTTATGACGTGTCTCAAATTTGTATTGAGATATATTTCTTTTCAATTTTTCTAGTTGAATTGTCCACTTACATTCCATATGATATATTATTATACATAATTAGGTTACAATAAAATTTGTATTTTATATGAATATACGTTATGAAAATTGAGATATAGTAGAGTGCAGGAGCTGTATCGTAGATTGGGGTGGGCACAAGACCCTTGCACCAGTCCTGCACTACCTTCTGAAAATTGGCATGTAGAGTGAAGAGGCAGGGCACTGTGTCATAGATTCATGCGGATTCAGGGTGGGGAGGGGAGGTGGTTTTTTAGACCCTTGTACTGACCCTGTATTGGGTGAATACAGCTTGTGGAAAAAGAGCAATTCTTTTATGTTTGGATTTTTTAGATGAGGAGGAGTCATCATAATTATATGCCTTTCCATTTGGACTAATAGGTTCATCTTATCATACTCAATATTTCTTTCCTTCTGTACACAAATAACATGCTTCCTAATAGGTCCCAACATATATCAGAAGAAGGCTTAGCTATGGGATATTGCCATTATATCCAGTAATGGCAAACATACTTGAAATGCCTATAACAATATCATCACTAAAACCAGGCATGTCACTTAGATACATAGATGATACTCTCATACTCTGTCTCTACCAGAAAGATATGCAAACAATGCTGGACCATATGAATTCAATAAGATCTTCCATACTGATTTCAGTAGGAAAGCAAGTCAATTCACTGGCCTTCTTGGATGTACTAACAACTCACAATGTATATTGTAAGCCAACATTCACTGGACAATATCTGAACATTGTTCCCACCTTTCAAGATATAGGGTTTAACAGACTGAATCACTGTGAGTATAACAACCAAGATGAGCATATTAACCTTAATGGAAATAAGTGAATCTTTATTGATGCTCCTGTCTCATAATAGTTGTTACATGTAATGTATTTCATGTGTATGCAACAGCTAATATAGGACAGGTGGTATTTTTATTTTCTTTATTATGAGATAGTGTTTTGAACTGCTCATGATTTGCTTCAAACGGATCAGCATACTTCTTTAAGAAGTATGTGTATTTTTGTTCAGCACACCAGCCCCAACCTTGAATCATTCATTCGATCAAATAATTGAAAGTTTGGCTGTTTCTATGGTTTTCACATGTAACTTGCAAACCTTTCCCCACCCAATAAATTCCTCTTGACATAATTCTATTGGCTGTGCCAGGGTGCAATTCATGTATCATTGAGAATAAGGCTTGTTAGGCGTAATGTCTGAAATAAAATTCAATTTCTCATCGCTTCTTAGGCTGGTACTTCTTTGTGGCTGAGACAATTGCATTTTCACCACCCAGACAATGTAACTTCTATCCTGTGACTTGACCAATACATGTTCCAACAGTGGTTGGGAAAGGTATAATCATATCTCTTACAAAGCTCTGAAGCCTAAACTTAGATTACCCTTTAGAAAAATAGATTAGTATACTAATCATGTGCTATAACTTGAGGAAGAATTCAGAATCATGGAGGTTATGGTGAGTGCTACATCATCATATTTTAATTCTAAAATGTGTTTGTGTGTGTGTGTGTGTGTGTGTATATATATATATATATATATATATATATATATATATATATATATATATGTGTTCAGTACTTATTGAAGATCAACTTAGAGTTTTGTAATTTTTCAATCACTGATTAGGACTCTCAACAAAAATGATTGCATTGATGAAAGGAAATCTTTCCTGAGAGTCCAGATGAATGTTTGAAAAATTACCAAACACTAAGTCAGCCTTTAGTAAGTATTGAACATTAATATATCTGATTTAATAATAATTATTGCTCTTGTCTAATATTGAGCACTTTATTAGCAGAAATTCTGTTAAATTTAACATATGTCAAATTACATAATTTTATGCCTATTAGTTGTTTATATTTTACGATATATTTATATACATATATTTTAAAATAGATATTGTAGTGTACATCAGCTTCCAACTTTATTTGAGCAATGATGTATTTGGAACCTTCCTATTGAAATGACATTATTTCCTAGTGCAGAGAAATTGCTTCTTGATGAAATACTTGCATATTCTTAATGAGCAGTTTCTAGATTTTAAGTTATAATTAGGTCCATAAAAAATTCTTTGTCACTCTATTCAATTCTGTTAAGCGTTAATAAGATTCATTTTAATTAAAACTTGTGCATTTTTATCCAATTAGTACACTTCTTCAAAAATATAATTTGAAAGCATGGAAATGTTTATAACCTGTTTTAATAAAAATGAGATTTCTGGAGATTTAAAAATAAAAAAATTTTATCTTCTCCATCCCCCTCCCTCCATAAATCAAAGTGCTTCATTGATATTTGTTGTCAACTCTTGACTTTAGTTACAGCATAGATGAAATCAAGTAAATAAAATAATTATTACTGTTGAGTATATATTTATATATTACCTCAGGAGTGTCCAGACTTTTTTCCAAAGGGCCAGATTTGATGAGGTCTATATGCATGAAAGCCAACCATTCTGCTTAGAATTCTTTGAACTATTAAAATTAAATCCAAATGAAATATCTTATGAAAATTTTATTGCAAATGGAATATTTTCATTTCTTCATATACATGACAAATAAATTTAGACAGATCTTACCAAAATTACTCAGCTTGTCATAACTGAATCCCGTATAAAATGAAGTAAAATATGTCTGAGAAAAAAAAAAACTTCCAGGAATCTTGGGTTAATCTTAAACATTACATATTTATTGGTAATTAATGTTGTCTTTCAACTT